TAAATGTTAATAGAAACAGTCTTCAGTATTCATCTTTGATTTTGTCAAAACAAATCTTATAAAATCGGTGAAGTCAAAATTTGTACGTAAAGTCTATCTATACTAAAAAAAGGTAGATTCAAAATTCTTTATCTAATTTCTTTTTTTCCTTATCTAATTCATTCTTATTATCTAATTGTATAGAAATCTGTTCTGATTTTGTGTAATCCTCTAATTGTATTTGTATCATATTCGATAAAATCGGTTTAACAAAAAAAAACCCATAACATCCGATAAGTAAAAAAAAGTACGTAAAATCTTTATTAAAATAAAAAGGCTTTATTTATTATCTAATTTATTATCTAATTGTATGGAAATCTGTTCTGATTTTATATTATGTACTACAAATTGTGCACCCGTGTTCAGGAGCTACTTAACCGGCAAGCTATGTGGAAATAACTCATTTAGTGCTTATGTCCCGTGCATACGGTATGTATTTGTATTACACATACTAGAAAATTGTGCACCCCGTGCATCGCATGGACTCTGTACTAATAAATGACCTTAAAATTGTGCACCTCGTGCATCACCCGTGTTCACATTTTGGCCTATTACAGGTCACGTACTATATATATCCTGTATATTTTTCTTTATTCATTTATATAATTATAAAACTTGATAAATAGCCTTAATTTTGTGCACCCTGTGCATCGCACGGGATCTGTACTAGTCTAGTGTGAAAAGGACATAAAAAAAAGTGTGAAAAGGACATAAAAGTTACTAATTTTAGTAAACATTTAATGCAGACAGGATGTTGACTAAGAATTGACCTACTAATTTTGAAAAAGGTTAATTCTTATTATATAAGTATAGATGTGTTGTGTCATACATTGAATAAATTAATCAAACATGTGGTGTGACTCGGTTAAATAAATAAATTTTTAGTTTTCACGATTTATTATTTTAACGTGTTTTCTTTTTCTTTCAGAGATTTAAAATTTTTTGATTTTAAAACTTTTGAAATATAATTTTTTTTGACTTGCACATTTTTTGAAATGGATGTGTTGAAAATATTATAAATCAATTGTGTAGCTCGCACCGATGGTGTTGAATCGCGGCAGTGATGAACCTAAGTGATGGCGGATGGCATGGTCGTCAACGGTGATAAACAATAGATTTCAAATGACTAGGTTTGAGGAGTTATTTCAAATCCTTTAAAATAATGACTAAAAAACATCTAGCATGAATTTGAAATCATCCAACTTCTATTACCATCCCAACATGCATGAGAATTTAAACTTGTAAATTGTAGTAAATCCTTCAAAGCAAACCGAGCCTAAGTTTTGAGCCAAAATGAACGACTTTACTGCACAAAATTTTTATTCGTCCAATTTCTATTTTGAAGAGTCACCCAAACTGCAAGCAAATAACTTACACCACTATTTCACACCGCGCCTCCTATCTTTCCCATTCTCCTGCCTCATCGCGATTTCTATTTGCCAATGACATCCGCGGTGGCTGAGCGAATTGAGCTGGCGAAACTGTGCAGCTCAAAAGATTGGTCAAAGGCTATTCGAGTTCTCGACTCACTCCTTTCCCAGTCCTGTGACATTCAGGACCTCTGGTTAGTTGATTTTTTTTATTTTTTATTTTTTATTTTTTGGGATTTGGTTTGTTGATGCTCGATTTATATTATTGAGATTCGTGATTGATCCACTAAATTAAATTTGTTTTTTGTTGTGTGTGTTGTGATTTTTCCTTTTTCACTTTAAGCAATCGAGCTTTCTGCTATAGTCAATTGGAGTTGCACAAGCATGCCATTAAAGATTACGAGAAGGCCTTGCAGCTCGATCCTAAGCTGCTCCAAGCTTATATTCTTAAAGGTGTGATTTTATCAGACTTTCTCTGCTTCCGTTTTATTGGGTTATCTTTAATTGTTAGGAAGCTGAGCTTATGAATTAGGGAAACTGATTGTTGTGGTAGCATATGTAGTAAATAGAATCTTCGGGCATTCATCAAATGTTGAATTCTAGCAACCAATCAGACACGAAAAGACTGAGTACCACCTAGGACGATTCTTGGAATGTGGTTGCTGTAACTGTAATTTTCATGTGATTCTTAACTAGAAACATCACTCAAAAATCTCATATTGCTAATATCCTTTTTATCGTTACAAATAAGTCCCTCCTTGTCTATTGACTTTGCATGCTGCTAAATTGGTTTGAAATATTTACTTTTAGGTCATGCATTATCTTCTCTGGGAAGGAAAGAGGAAGCTCTTTCAGTCTGGGAGCAGGGATACGAGCATGCAGTCTGTCAGACTGTCGATCTAAAACTTCTTCTGGAGCTGGAAGACCTCTTGAGAGTTTCTAGACAAAATGGTCCTACTTGCCGGAATCATGAGATGGGAGCATCTCAATTGTCCTTCCCTGCATCTGGAACTGCTGTTTCCACAAAATCAAGTAAAATATCCGACAACCTTGAGAAATCAAATGAAAAAGGTAAACCAAGAAGCAAATCAATCAAGCTGGGCTACAACAAGCAAAATGAGTCAAGTCTTCTTTTTAATGGAGAAAGTAGTTTGAGTAGCCAATCTAGCAAAAACCTTGAGAGTCGCTCAACTGAAACTAACGGGATACACAATAAGTTGGAGGGAAAGTCCGTGGTGAATGGTTCATCTGAATCAAGCATTGATTCATCTGTGCATTATGGTGAAACTAGTGATTCTTCTGATACATGTAATGAATTGTTCAGCCTGTCAGAAATCCACAACGAATTAATGGATGAGGGCAGTAGGAGTAAAAATTTCTGTGTTGCTAGGATATCAAAGAAAAAGTCAATTAATGTGGATTTCAGATTATCAAGGGGAATTGCCCAGGTTAGTTTACTATGCTTTATTTGTGTCATGATAACATGATACGTGTTGTGCTGCCATATGTTCTCGGATGACTAAAAATTGCAGTTCATTTTTGGTTCTGAAAAATCGTTTTTTTTTTTTAATGTTTGTTTTTATGCCACCTGTTTTTCCCGTTTGCCATTCTTTCTGCTCCTGTAATTGTTAATCCTTTTCTCTTTCCTATTTATATATGTCACTTCTTTATATGTTAAGTTTCAAGGATACCCCATTTCATAGATTTAATGGATAGAATCTCCTGTGAAGCATAGCTGTTAACAGAATCACAGCCTAACAGAATCTCCTTGTTTGTATAAGAAGCAAACAGTTGCATGTCATGCGTTAGAACTAGAAAAACAATGTACCCTGGTCTCTTATTATGTTTGAGGGTGTGATCCCCAAAAGTTACATGTAAAGTCCATTACATGACCTATGTGTTATAGCTTTTTTTTTTTCAAGCTTTCACAACTTCATCTATCTTGGTGATTCTACGTTCATTCTATGTGGTACTCAGAAGTCATAAAATTATTATGATTATTAAGTCAAGAAAAATATGCTTCGTCATTTCCACTATGCAGTATGCATAGGATTTAAGGGCCTGAATTTGCAAATTTCTCTACTGTATTTATCTTTTACTCTGTAGTCTAATGCCAATGGCTTCTTGTTATGTGGCACATTGAGAGTAATTTTAGGGTAACAGAAGAGTTCAAAGTGACACACTATTGGTTGCGATGCTTTGGATTTAAGTGATTCTCCCTTCAGTTTTGAGTCACCGCTTCAATCATGGTGATTGAAACATTGTTCCTGAGATGGTGTTCTCTTCCTTGGCAGGTTAATGATGGAAAATATGCCCATGCTATATCCATTTTTGACAAGGTTGATATTATTTACTTCTAAATTTATCTTGTTTAGTGTTTACCTTAAACTAATATTCCACAATCCTGCATGGCCGAGGGAATGGATAGTTTCCATGATTTTTTCCAACATAACTCCATCTTATTACTTTATATATCAGATTCTAGAAGAAGAGCCAGATTACCCTGAGGCCTTAATTGGAAGAGGAACAGCATATGCATTTAAACGAGAACTGCATGCGGCTATTGATGATTTTTCAAAGGTAATGTTTGTTTGAGTCATTTTTGTACGTAGGAATATGGAATCCTGGATGAATGAAATGAGATGTGGTTATTTAAATAGGCGATACAATCAAATCCATCAGCAGGTGAGGCCTGGAAACGCAGGGGCCAAGCTCGAGCAGCCTTGGGAGAATATGCTAAGGTTATTTAAAATCATTGATAATGCTTTTCTCTAAGAATATGTTATGTTTCCAGTAGTATTTCAGTTTAGTTTATTTGTTAGTGATACAAAGTGCTAAAACTTGTTACATTCATCTCTTCCATAAGCTAATGTTTTCCCATTGCTGGGAAATTCTTATGTATCCATACTAAAACTTCAAGATCAACTAAGTGCATATCCGGTGGTTACCTTCACTTGTCTTTTCATATCATGAGTAACTGCCAAACTGATGGTCAGAAGCAACACAGATGTTATTTCTGAGTAAAAACCATATTTTCACATCTGAGATCAGACCATGATACTGCAGATTGCCCTGCCATTTTCCAATCCACAATTAACAGTTTTGGGAGTACCCTAGAAGTTAAGCTTTCTGCATTAGTTTCGGAATCATCAAGGTGTCGGGAATGCCTGTGGTAGAAAAATGGTGTGGAAATAATTGATCTGGTACCTGCTTTCTTTGTAATAATGACTATATAACAAAAATTGTGGAATTAGTGGTACTGTTTGATTTTCACCTTAACACGCCAAATTCCTATTAATTGTAATTGCATATGCTGCCTAGTACTTACTCTAAAAGATCTTCGCGGATTCATTATGATTTTGAAAAAGGCAATTTTATCTGTCTTTTTTCCAGACGTACTATTTTTTGTTTGTATTTGAAAGATAAAAAGTTATGTTTTCAGTTGTCATGTTTGAAGCCTTTTATGTTGTTTAATGGAGGTTGGGGTAAAATGGTTTGTGTCATAGATTGAGTTGCTGCATAGGATTGCTATGTTTTTGATGCAATAGTTGGAGTCACTAGTGAGGAGAACAAGAATTTTAACGATGTGAACTTTTTGGTGATTATCATTTATTTTTTTATTATATGTAATATTTATCTATTTGTGTATGTGTCTCTGCCACAATGGTGAGGGAACAGTGAGAACTGTTTGATTGCTAGGCAACGGGGCAAGCTCCGGTTGACTCATTAGTTGCTACATATGTAATTTGATGTTATTTTCACTGTCAAGATGATTCGTTTTCTTTTTGTTCTTTTGCATGCTCATTCTGAATCTCATGCCAACCGGTTGGCTGTCATGACTAAATATCTTCTGTTTTCAGGCAATTTCAGACTTGACTAAAGCATTGGAGTTCGAATCATATTCAGCTGATGTATTGCATGAAAGGGGTAGTTGTTTTATTTCAATTTTAAATTAATATTTTTGCTAGTCTTCATCATTATATCCTTGGGACTGTTTTCCTTAAATATCACTCTGTTACAAGCGACTATTAAATTAAATTCTGGCTTCCACACATATATTCTTACTTTGATTTGCATGGTACATTTGACTGCGTTAAAGATGAATTATAATAGCTGGAGTTGAAAATATTATGCTTGAACATGGAAATATGAATAAGTAATTCCAGTCATGTTAGTTTATAATTTATTGCAATTCACTGTGCTTCTCTGGCTCCCAGCCCTGAGAATATAAAATTTAGTGGTAATTGTTTTACGATATGCTTACAGATACATGTTGATTTTGTTCCTGTTAAAGAGTTAAGGATAACTATACAGAATCAGATATTAGAGATAATAATTGTTTCCAGTGTAACTTATTTGCATGGTAATTGTTTTACAATATGCTTACAGTTTATAATTTATTGCAATTCACTGTGCTTCTCTGGCTCCCAGCCCTGAGAATATAAAATTTAGTGGTAATTGTTTTACAATATGCTTACAGATACATGTTGATTTTGTTCCTGTTAAAGAGTTAAGGATAACTATACAGAACCAGATATTAGATAATAATTGTTTCCAGTGTAACTTATTTGTTACAAATTAAGCCGTAATTTAACTATTATAAAATTTAGTGGTAATTGTTTCCTCTTGTCCATTTATTTGATTCGTAGAACTAATTAGCCAATGTTACCATAATTTAACTATTATAATCTTTTGTTGATGCAAATTTGAACGTCTTGACCCCTTATCAGCAAGAAAAACTACATTTTAAAGAGTAATATAGCCAACCGGAGAATATTCTACACTACATGTGCTGTTGAATTGGGATTCTTACATTCTCGACTCTGGAGGTTAAATTTGGTGAAGAGCATTGGACACATGTTTCTGAAATGTCTTCACCTGCATCGTAAATATTGACACTGCTCACAAGTGCATTTTGGTCTTACCTATATATATAGCATACTTCAATAACTCGTAAAATCACTCTGCTATAGTTATTTTCTTTTGTTGGGCGTGCTGTACACTTTCTTCACAAGTTCTTACTTACGGCCACAGTTTTAGTAGAGAGTATCTGGAAGTTGGTGAGTATGATTTTGACATCAGTCTTGCTTAAAATATGCACATTATATATTTAGGTCATCATTTCACAAACAGGTAATTGATGGTGAATGTATCTTGAGGATATGATTACCTTCTTTTATAGACATTTTGTCTTCATCAGGAAAAGAAATGCTGGGAGAACAATTGACAGATAATGAAATGCTATCCTCTGATAGTAAGGGTGGAGAATCAGTACTATAATTCACCGTAAACTGGTCTGACCTCAATCTATCTCAATATTTATGGCACAAAATAACTGAGGCCAAGCCAACTTTAAGTGATTGGAATCGATAGTAGTGACTGTATATGTAAGAACGACTAAAACCTTGTACTTATCAGCTGAAAACCCCTTATGGTACGCACAGAGAGCAGATATATTCTAAAACGGGATATAAAGTTATGTTTGTCCCCTATCAATTAGTTACGAGACTATTATTGTTAGTGTGGGTGGGAACCCTCTTCCTTTGAGCTAACCTTTTGGGGTGAGTTCTACCCAAGCACATTTAACATGGTACTAGAGCACCAAAGTTTGTTTGTTTGGACATGAGGTTAGGTTTGGACCTGGCCCATTGGCCATTTGGATTGTTAGAAGCTTATGTTTGCCCCTCATCAATTAGTTTCCTGGCTATTATTGTGTATGAGTGTGGGTTGAGCACCCCCTCTCATCGACCTATGTTTGGGGATGAGTACTCCCGAAGCCTATTTAACACCCGTAAATACCGTTCATCATTTGATCTGAAAATTTTATTGAGGAGCATGTCCTGTGGTGTTTTCTCTTGAAAATCTCAAGAATATTATGGCACCAAATGTAAATAGTAGATTATGGCGCTATGGTATTTGATACGACCCGGATGGACCGTATTGAAATAGAGGACCTTCCGAGCATGTGCGAGCTCCAAGAAGAAGAATGGGGAGGGCCTAGACACAAAGAGAGAGAAAATAGTATACATCATTTTCATTCATAATCCTAATAAAATACCCAGACGCCAAATGGCTTTACATTTGTTGCCAAAGACCTACCGAGTTAATTAATACTAAATACTAGTAATTAACTGCCAATGTAATTTACTAAAGGTGTATAAGTAATGAAATCAAAATGATAATTGTTCCTCATATTTGGTGTACAAAGATTAGTAGGTAGCATAGGTATGGTTGTGGCTTCTGGTACCTATCCTCATGCTATAACTGTTTATTGAACTTTGATGTGGCATGAATTTGTTGCTTGTTGTGTTCACTAAAGTCTTAGTTCCTTCATTCATTCCTTCGTTTCCTTACTCAGTGCTGTTGTTAGTGCTCTATATTACATATATGATCTTGCTAGTGAAAATCTTTGCAGGAATAGTAAACTTTAAGTTTAAGGATTACAAAGCTGCTGTCAAAGACCTATCTGCCTGTGTAGAAGTTGAACAGGATAACAAATCTGCCTACACATACTTGGTGAGTCTATAACAGCGAAGCTTTTCTTAGATGATGCGCTTATGCTTATGCATAGAACCCAGTAGCTTGATTTCCATAATTTTTTCTTCCTCAGGGCTTGGCTTTATTTTCACTTGGTGAATATAGAAGATCAGAGGAGGCACATATGAGAGCAATCCATATAGATCAAAATTTCCTAGAGGCTTGGACTAATCTTACTCGGGTATCTATTGACATAGAGTTAGATGTATCACCTTTCTTCACATTTTATTTTGCTAAAAAATATGCTGTTGCCTCTATATCAGGATGGTTCCATTCGGTTGTAATACTATATAAAAAAGATAATGAGAAGAAAACTGCAATATCGTGCATTAAAGGAAGTAGCAAGATTATACAATGTTTTTTTGTCCTCTTTGTGTCTAATGGTTGGACCTAGATGATATGTCCGACCTTCCCTCACATTCTATCTTGCTAAGAAAAAGCTGTTGCACTATATCAGTTGTAAAGTTAAATAAGGAGAATAACCTACCAAAAAAAAAACTCCAATCTCTCTTGCATTAAAAAGAAAATGGGATGTTTGTACAATCTTTCTTGTCCTTTCTGTGTCTATTGGTTGGACCAAGCTAATTTGTGAGGTTGGCATTTCACATGATCAGGTTACTGAAACTGTAAGGTAGAAGAATGAGATGAGAAGATTATATCAATATCTGTATGTATATATGTATATACTGGAAATGAGCAAATGAGATAAAACTGTTGTGGGAACTAAGCACTATGTTATGATACATTATATGTGATGCTGTTATTAGCCATGTATGATGCTAATCTAGCATAGTGATGGAGAATAACATTATAGCAACATAATACTATTATCACGTCACCCTTTATTAGCACTGTGTGTAGCTGGTAATAGCATCACATATAACATAGTTTAGCGTGGTTTCTTAGTTCCTTCACCTGAATTGGTTCCCGTTGGAACCTAACGTTATATATGTATATATGTAGCACACACACATTCTATATTTATAAATCACACCTCGTAAAAAGAGTAATGAAAACTATAATTGACTTGAGATTACACTATAGAACCTTTAAGGCTTCAGTTTCTCAATTCTAATGGTTCAAGTATCTTCTCTCTATTTTAATTTTTAACTGCTTCGCTTCTTTCAACTTACCAGCATGCCTGCCCAAAAATTCCGACCTTTTCATTAGTTGTTCCAAGAAAGAAATAGAATGCAGTTTTTGGAACTTTGCCTTGGATTTTGACTTGAGTGTTGGTGAAACTAGCATCATGTCGTGTCGCATGACCACCTTCTGAGGATCTGACTGTCCAGATTTGTTCAAATGTATTGCATATTGCTCTTTCAAGCAAAGATTTGATTTTTCCTCGTGTTCTATAAAGTTGGCATATGTAACTAGAAAAGTGCATTGTTGTTGGTATCTACATTTTGTTTATGGACTTTCTGGTGATTTATCTTTTCAAATTAACCTACGTGTGTTCATGGTTATACTTCAAATTATTAGATCAGAACTGCTTCGTGTTTATTTTTTATGAAGTTATTATGTTGGTTAGATGAAGTTTTTCTGCAGTTTAGAAGGCATCTAGATCTAGGAAAATTTATGGCAATGAAAGTTGCTGTATACTTGAATTTTATAATAAGTAATATTGCTCTTTTTTATCCACCATAACAGCGACCTTAAACACTAAAGTACATTTTCAGTGGTTTGACAATAAGGATGTATTTTTGTTTTGTGTAATTTCACAACTCTCCATATATGTTACAAGCATGTGCATGTGCATCCTTGTACTTGTAAGTTAGTTGAACAAGTTTTGGATATAATTTTGATCTTTTATCAGGTCTATCAAGACACCGCAAATTCGGAGAAGGCCGTACAATGCATTAATGAGATTCATAAAATTGATGGAAGGTATGCTGTATGGATATGATCTTGTTTTCTCTCGTACTTCTGTGTTGTTATCCCTTTTTGAGAAATTAATTGATTCTTCTGATTAGCGAATGATCCACAAGACTACAGGTGGGTGAGATTAGAGTAAATTTTATTGGGTAAAACCGTAAAAGAATCTTGGGCTTACAGTTTCCAGATGATTGTTTGTCTCTAATTACATGTTTAACATGTTCCTCGTGATCAAATACTCTTATGTTCTTTTTTACTTTTTATCTTATCGGCGTTGTGAAATTGAGTTACCTCAAGAAGTCTATAAAGTACATATTGTATTTATATGCTGGTTCTCTGGGTGTATTTTGTGCTGAACTATTCATATAATATTGTTCCTTACTTAGATGCACATAGTTATGACTATGTATTCCATGTATATTTTTTGGATTTTATAAGTGAATTTCTCCTTATTGCCAATTTCCTACCAAATGAAGCAGTTTGGTTCCATATGTTGCTTCATATGGCGTTGGCTGCTCAGTTGACCCAAGAGCTTGTTATGCTCTACAGTGTCCAGAGGTTTACCTAAATTTCCCTGTCAATATAAACAATCTAGTCGAAGCATCTATATGTTTAAGTGCATTTTAAGCGTCTCATCCACTAAAGTTGGTGGTGGGATAACATTTGCCTCCAGCAAGCAACTCAGACTTCAACAGGCCCTCATATGGACTTCCTAATGATTCAGTTGACGCAATTTTTTTATCAAATTGTTTAGCATATGATTATGCTTAATAGAACCGAAACTGCTATCTAATTACTTATTTCCATTTCATGGGGACATGCTTATCCAACCGAGTCATGCCCTTTTCTAGGCTTTATGTGAGTTATCATTTGAGATATTTCTGTTTAAACTTACATAGTTTGTCACAGACAGGTGTGAGTTATCTATGCGACGTTGGTAAGGGGAAATGGTGTGTTGTTTTTGTGTTTGGTATTATCACTAGATGTTTAATCTGGACTTGTTTATCTCGAAAGGTCTAACATAGGTGTGTGAACCATTTTAGTCGGACGATTTATAAGGAGATCTTACTTATGGTCTTCTTGACCTTTTAGGTTTGCCAAAGCATATCAACTCCATGGACGCCTTCTCCATGAGATGGGTGATCACAGGTAAGTGTTATTAAGATACTGGTAGTAGCAAATATGAAGATACAATTAACAGCTTTTTTGTGGATTACTTTGTGAAATTTGGAGCATAATAATATATAAGGTTTCAATATCCGTTATTTGTTCTGTTGCTTGAAGTTGAATCTTTCAAGCAGTTTGCAAGTCAATATCTTCTTTTCATGCTTTTTTTAAATCCCTACGATACAAATCTCGTTTTGGAATGCTAGATTTCAATATATTTGAAATGAGAAAGTTTCTGTTTTATGACCAAGTGTGTTCCCGCCTGCATATTTTTTTGTGTTTTATTTTTTATTTAGTTTTATTTGTTAAACAGTGTGTATAACTACCATAGCATTACCCGAATGATGGTCAATGTTCATTTAACCTTTAATTTTTATTTGTTTGGTGGTTTTCACTATGTAACAAATCTTTTCTCAATTATGATCATTTTACCTTTTATATATGGTGCTTCCGCTGATACATTATTCTGTGTGTTTGGTTTTAATGTTGTATAGTGTTAGAATTTTAAAAAGGCACCTTTAGGAGACCTCTCATGGACTCAGTGTATGCTGGTCCGTTGAGAGTATGCTTCTCTGTGGGTCTTACACCATTTGGCTTAGCATATGTGTGAATAAAATGTTATTTCTTTGACTTAGAATGTGCAGATATCTGCCCAAGTATTATAACAAGAATCCTTTTGTGTTGTAATTTTGTTAAATAATATCATATACAAAAGAAATTTCTGTATGGTATACTGTCTTCAAGAGCTGTAAATATCAATCATTAATTTTTATATGCTGCTGGCTTTCGATTTTTCTTGTGCTATTTTTGTAAATTGTAACTTATTCGTTATTTTTTATTTTTTTTATGTTATTTCAATTATTTGTTGAAAAATCTTGGAGCATGTGCCCTACTTTGAATTTTGTGAAATGCCCCATCCTTCATCTGACAACGTTGTCCTTTCATGACATTGTGATCGAGATAAATGTCTGAAAATTTGATTCTATTTCTTGTATTCCGAAGTGCTACTTCATTCTGTATTTAATTTATGGTTACAGGAATGCCATCAAGGAATTATCAGTGGGATTAAGTATTGATAGCTCGGATATTGAAAGTTTGTATCTAAGAGCTTCTTGCTATCATGCTATAGGAGAATTTAAAGAAGCGGTATGGACTTTTTTTCTAATTTACCTCCCTCTTGTCAAACTCCCACCCCCACCCCGGAAAAAGAAAAAGAAAAAGAGAAAAACTCTGAAGGAAGGAAGACAAGCCACATAATTGTTTGCATTTTTCTAAAATGAGAGTTTGCGTTTGAGGTATGTCTCACATGAACTCTGTAAACTTTGCAGGTTAAAGATTATGATGCAGCATTGGATCTTGAATTGGATTCAATGGAGAAATTTTCCCTACAGTGCTTGGCCTTCTATCAGGTCATTAATTACTTAGTATAGCTAAATGGGCTGTTTCACTTTACCCTAACACTAATTTGTTTGGGTTGACCATGCTTTCCAATAAATCTGGATTTAAAGAATTGTTTGACTGCATCCATAGTTTTAATGCAAGGTACATTGATGATCTTACTTAAGCATTGTTTTTTTCCCTGATCTGGCTGTTCACGTTCCTTTTTCTTTTCTTTTTCCAGTTTAGCTGTGTGCTCTTATGAATTCAGCGTCTAATCTAACTTGGTATCGGAACTTATTTTAAGTACTTTCAGGCAGTTGTTGCAAATTCAATTTAGACCTCAAACCAATTTTTCAGTGACTGGAATTAAAGGTTCTTTGTGTATTGATTTGTGAGTCCAGATTAAATTTGAGAGTTCGATAAATATAATTAAACGAAAGAGGTTCTCTTGTTGGGTGTACACGAAATCTAAATTTGGGTAATCCAATTAAACCAGGCTGTTGTTCTTGCTTGTCTGAGTTGTGTATCTTTGCATGCGTGGTTAATTATGTTCAAGGATAGTTAATTTTATTCAAGTATGATTGGTCACTGTGAAAGAGTAATCCATCATCCGAGTCATGATTTAAATACAAAAGCAACATTGTGGACAGATTCTTGAATTGAATGGAAGTGAAACATTATCTATTTAAGTATTTAAATAGGAACTAGGATGTGATGCTATGAAGTCAAATTCTAATTTGCAATGCCTGTAATTATATTCATGATGATGATGTTGCTACATTATTAAATGATCGTATTACTACGATGGTTGATTATAAAGAGTGGGAAATTGTCATTTCCATTATTTGTTTTTGTATATTCTGTTCATGCAGAAAGAAATAGCATTATATACAGCTTCAAAGTTCAACACAGAATTTTCTTGGTTTGACCTTGATGGTGATATAGATCCTCTCTTTAAGGTAATACATGAATCTGCCTTTGTGCTGTATATTTCCTAAGTTCATATTGCTCATGTAAAGTGTTTTATATCATGCTAAGATTTAAAATTCTTAATGTTCACTATCAAAATTTTCATTTGTTCACTTGTCTTCTAACCATATATTGTGAAATCATGTAATCATCAGTTTAGATGCCGCTTTTCATGTTTTGTGTTTCTCAATGTGTGTTTGTTATGTTATAAAATTGTATTATTCATGGTTGTCTGGCTATGATAATCTGAAATATTCAAGGCATATGATTATTAATTACTAAAATTGTAGAAAGGCCAGTATATTTTGGATAGTTCTTATCTCTGACACTCGTTCTAGTAATGCACACTGCCTGCATCTGAAATTATCGAAATTTCCAGGAACTATTAGGAGTCGCACACTTGGTTGATAGCTACATGCTATGTTGGTTTTCATGTAAATGCAGTCTCCAACCTAACTATATGTTTCTGATTAAATATGTTTGTGTCGTTGCATCTATCTTGATGTTGATATCCATATGATAAGTGGCAAAGGTCATATATCCTGTGTATTGTAGGTGGTATTTACTTATATGTCATCTCATGTGAACATATTTTTGCTACGTGGATGGTTATAAGGTCACACTGTTGTAGAGATACTAGAGCATAATTACTGGATTTGCAGTTGTGTGCAGTAGATAAATTGACCTTGATAAATAACTTGATTTATCTATTTTGAGCCTTTAAAATTATAGGATTCAAAGTCAAAGTAATTGTATCTTATAGAAGAGTGAATGTGGATGGAAAGGGTTGTTTCAAAGTCTTGGTGCTAAAGCTTGAGTTTCTGGTGGATTAGTGTTATGCTAATTGCAGAAGTTGGATCTAGGATCAGCTCAAGACTGAAAACCAGTTAAACAAATAATGTAACATCAATATTGTTTTTCTATTTATACTCTACCCTACGTGTCCTAGGAATATTGGTGTAAAGGGCTGCATCCAAAGAATGTATGCGAGAAAGTATACAGGCAACCCCCTCTGCGAGATTCTTTGAGGAAGGGAAAGCTTAAAAAGCTCGACTTTTCTCTTACAAAGCAAAAAGCTTCTCTGTTACAGGCTGCGGATTCAATTGGCCAGAAGATCCAGTACCATTGCCCGGGATTCCTGCCCAACAGACGTCAGGTGAGTCGCAAAATGGAAATGGTGTAAGAGCGCATACTTTTCACTTCAAAAAGTTAAAAATGTGGTTCATTCTTGCTGTGAAATAAGTCTGAAGCTATCTTGTTTTATATGTTTTAAGCTGGCATATATATAGGTATTATAGAATAAAATGTTGCGTGATATGTTTATGAAGTTGTATGTCATCTTTTTTGATGTTTCCCCTTTTCACTTGCTAAAATAAATTTGGTATGTTGTGTGTCTATCAAGGGCATTGTAGATATAAAAATCTTCCTGACTCTTGAATTACCAGTGAACAAGGATTGAGACAGAAAAGTTGGAAAAATTTTCATTGACAGTTGTTAAATTTCCTGCTTGCCAACTTTGCTGTTTTACCAAATGAAGAGTTCTTCCTGATTCATCATTTCCTTGTGCTCAAACTTTGGCTAAGTTGGTTATCATTCTCTTTAACTAGTGATTTGAAGTATTAATTGTACTTCAGCTAAGGAAATTACTTTTCATGTGAAATTACCAAATGTTGCAACGAGTGACATATTCAATCATTTTCTGATGCTTAAAATATCTGTTATATATTATTCATCTCGATGGTGTATTTACTACTATTATGCTGGTGTTTCCTTGTGACAAAGAGGGGCAGATATTGACTGGTTGACATGGAGACTTTTTCAGTGGGCAAGAGTATTTTCATCTGTCTGTTAGATTAACTTGACTCTGCACTTGAAATGAACCCTTGGTGGTTTTTGTCTTTTATGTACCATTGATTATTACTATATTGGAGATCTCTCCATGCAAGTGATTGCTGATGTTTTGGTTTTTTTTTTTATTGTTTAAAACTGCACCAGTATCGAATGGCGGGCCTTGCTGCTATAGAGATTGCTCAGAAGGTTGTAAGGGTTTGGCGTTCTCTACAAACTGAATGGAAGCTTTCAAGTAAAGGTGGGTCGAAACATGGAAAGAAAGCCAGGAGAAAAGAGAAGCTCAACCCTCCTAGTCAGAACAGAGGTGGTGCTGGTTGCAGCACTAGCAGATTTCCAGAATCATCTATATCATATGGTGCAGCTGAAGATAGACCATATGGACGCCCTACGATGCCGTGGAATGGTGTTTATTCTGTGGCCGTTAAATGGAGACAGATCTCTGAACCATGTGATGCAGTTATCTGGGTTAACAAGTTGAGGTATTTCATAGTAGTTCATTTAGTTTAAAGCTAATTTTCTGTAGCCTTATACGGTAATCAATAAATGAAGAGATTCTTGAGTTCTCTATAACATTGTTTAGACAAGCACTGAATTAATCTCATTTTTTTACCAAGGGGTAGCTGGTGAATTATATGTATATTGCAAGTGAAACTAATTGTGTCGCACATGTTTATGTATTTGAGTAATTATGTATGATGCTTTCTGATCAGTTTGCTCTTTTGTTATCTAGTGAGGAATATATTTCTGGGTTTGGGTCGCTCACTCCTCTTATCAATGGTCAAGCAAAGATTGTACGCTGTTTTCCAAATTTTATGAGGTAATTCTACATTATTATACAAACTTTGATGCCTTAAAAATCAGATTTCCGGTTTTGAAAAAGAATAAAATGGTTCTAATTTTTGTTATGAAAATCTGTGAACAAAAAGTGCCATTGTTTGTTGATCTGCAGAACACTAAATGCTGCCAAAGAAGTAATGAAGGCTAATAAGTGTGTGCGTGACAAGAAAGACAACATCATCAATCTCCGTGAAAACGGGAAACTGCAAGACGTAAGTTATATTGCTAAACAAACTCCTTTGCCTTTTCATTCATTTGAATGATTTTAATCCTTCTGAAACCAGCTGCTTGATAAAATTTGGTTTTTATACTTCCTATGAGTTGTCAGGATGTTTTCTCCTCAGTTGACTGCACATAATTAATCATTTTACTAGGTTATTAGTTCTGTAATCCCATCTGAAGGATAAGATATTGCATGCCTGGTGGGAAAAATAACCTGCCTTTGACTGAAGCATTGTGATTAATCAAGTTTATTAATTCGTTTTCAACCTGCAGATACTGAATGCAGAATCCTGCTCAGATCTTTACAAAGCCGTGGGTGAGGACTTCTGGTTATCCACTTGGTGCAACAGTATGACAATTGAGGGGTAATTGTTCTGGATGTTGCTCGTTGATGAACTTTATCTTGCTTTGTTTAGTGAAAAATCTTGTGATTGGATGCTATGACGTGGAGTTCTTTAACTTGGATATCACTTTGTCATGGTTATTGTTTCAGGAAGCGTCTTGAAGGAGCAAGGATATCATTATCAAAGAAGTGAGCAGAAAATCGTTTTAATATTCTGATTCGCTTCCTATTGCAATTTTTTAAGTTGGTCAACTCATTTATATGTCATTTCAGAGACCCAGTTGGGTTCGATTTTGTTATTAAGACACCTTGCTCCCGTTCCCGGTGGGATGATTTTGAAGTTGAAATGACTTCAGCGTGGGAGGTATGTCTCTCGATCTCATTCCTATATAGAGTCAAATATTACTTAAATAATCTTTTGAACCATGGTAAGCCATGATCCAACAGTTTTCACTGAAATATTTTGATTTAGCATTTCTCAGTGATATTTAAAAAATATTTTAATTCACCATTTTCGAAGCGTTCTGAAGGAGCAAGGATATCCTTATCAAATAAAGACCATTTTCATCTCATTAGAGGTTTGTTTTAAAGAAATTGCCACACGCACCTTTCCCCTCAGTTTTATCAATTTCATAAAAGAATGATCAATCACAAATTCATAAGTTAAATATTCATCCATTCACACAATTACAATTCTAATTACTTCATATCAACTTTAATCCTAACATTTCCATCATACAATCAATTACACTATTCAATTTTTTTTTTCTTTACTCAAAAAGATTTTACAAACATTTCGGAGGAATTTTTTTTCAACAGACGATATGGTCATTGCTCTTGACGTCAAATGTTTTTGTATTGGTTCGTCATATGCTTTTTAAACAAAATTTTTGATATCTGAGTTACGTCAAATGTTTGCGGAAAACATCATGGAATATCTTCGTGAATTTATATAAAATTAGTTTGGAAGAGATCATTTGGCTCAATCTCCATGTGTTGGAGTGGCGTGAGATGCCAGATCTTGATGCAGTTTGGCTTATTATTTTCACGTGTGTATTTATTTTGTCAAGTAAATTTGTAATTTGATTCTATAGTTGTATCCATAGCTTTAAAACCCTGACAAATGATTGATTCGAGGTGGACTCCAGTCACTAGGTCAATTGTTGAACCGGGTAATTAATTTTATAAAATTTTTGAACCCGCAGGTGTTCCGGTTTCAAAACAATGGTTGTAACAGAATTTTGTTTTGTGCAAATACGTTTATATAATATTTCTAAAATATATAAATTTAATGTTATGAACATTATAAGCACTATAAAAGGAAGTTTCTTTAAGTATGAAAAATAAAAATTAATACAGCATGTATAAATAACTTGTGTAATCAAATTATATTTTGATTTTAAAATTAATTCAAAATAAAGAGAATAAAACGATAATATTCCACATACAGTAAAATTTAGAGTGTACAATGTTGGCGACTGAGTTAATTTTGTCCCAACTCTACTCAAAGTAGACTGAACTTCCTTATATAGTGCTAATACAATTATTATCTGTACAAATTGATTGAACAGATAGAAAAATTCGGTTATGCAGGCACTCTGTGATGCCTACTGCGGTGAAAATTATGGATCAACGGATTTCGATGTGCTTGAGAATGTGAGGGAGGCAATTCTGAGGATGACTTACTACTGGTAAGATTTGGTGACACATTTTGCATGATATAATATAATATGCGCATTGCATTTACTCTCTTTTTCCATACTTCAGCTAAGCAATTATCTTTCAGGTACAATTACATGCCACTATCGTGTGGCAATCCTGTGGTTGGGTTCACCGTGTTGCTCGGACTTTGTCTGGCCGCCAATATGGAATTTACAGGAAGCATTCCAGAGGGAGTTCAGGTGAATTGGGAAGCAATCCTTGACTCCGATCCCAAATCCTACATATCGTCTGTGAAAAGCTGGCTTTATCCGTCACTCAAGATTAATACGTCATGGAAATCCTATCCTGATGTGGCATCAACTCTCTACACGACTGGATCGGTTGTTGCTGCCTTAAGTACATACTCTGACTGAGAAGTGTTCTAATGCAGGTAATGTTCATTGGTCTTGTGATGGTTCCCAGTTAACTGACCTGAAAGAGTAATCCTAAATACTGGGGGAAGAGAAGTTGAAAAACTGGCATAATTTGTCACAACTTTTTGTCGTCTTCTAATAAGATCAAATATCATGGGTCATACTTGTAGTTACATGACATCCCTTGGAGAAATAATTTTTTTTATTTTTATTTTTTATCTTATGCATTGATCCTATGTTGGCTCTAACATTTAGCACAAATTATATATTTGGCCAGAGCTCAGCATGAACAATCTGGTGGTTTTGGAACAGTTCTTCAGGAAAAAAAAAAGTTGAATTCAGAACTTGCGGATTGGTTGTTCCATATAATACTTGTGCGATGTAACATTATTGTTGAGTAACATATGCAGGAGAGATGGTCTCTCAAATCGACTTATTGTAAGCTAGTTGAGCTTTCTGTACTTTTCCCTGTTTTCTCGTTACTTCTCTTTGTTGCCACTTTCCTTCTTTATGTATAAAGTACTAAACCACATTTGGATTGTGTATGGTGTGAAATCGGGCAACTGATGCTAGATATATACGTGAGAGTATCTTTTACTTATGTTTCATCTTTACTTGGGCTTGGTCTGTCCTTGGACTTTAAAGGCTTTGTTGGACAAAACTGATGCTAGATATATACATGAGAGAAATTTTAAGGTATGTTTCATCTTTACTTGCCCTTAGTCTGTCTGTCCTAAGACTTTAAAGGCTCGTCTGTGTGGGATACTGCTCTTTTGCCGCAACATTTTTGTCTGGGTTCTCGGTGAGAAAGGCTCCATTTTTTTCGTTTAATGTTGAATGCGTGTTTTGGTTTGATTCCGTCTTGCTTCTATCAAATGCCACAGTAAAGAAGATGGGTAAGAATTTAAACGTCGCCATTTTAGTTCAACTATTCTATAGTTTAGAAAATTTTAGAGTGCGTTTGGTAAGCACAATAAGCTAGCTCGTAGTTTATTTGGTTAGTTTATAAGCTTTTGTATACAAATAAGTTTGGTTTGGTATGACTAATGTTTTTTGAAAAGGTTGAGTATATCTTATACGCTTATTTGGGCAGTTTTTTTTAGAGAAGCCCGTTATTTTTTTTAACTGACTTGTCAGTTAATTTTACAAAACACTTTTATGATATCAGCTAGCTTTTCAGTCAAGCCATAAGTTATAAGCTCGAAATTCACTTATCAGCTACCAGCTACCTTATTAGTTAATTTTATTAAACATAGCCTAAATATGAACTTTTAACAAATTATTTTTTAAATTCAAATCTAACTCAATTTTAATTCAACTTTACTACTCTCGATATTATCAATATAATTAAATAAAATCATGCAATAATTTTTATACATTATATCAACTTTAATTCACTATTCATTCATTCACATAATTTTAACTTGCAATCACTTCCTATTACTTCAATCATCTATTTTCTAGTTTTATATTACATCAATTAATAAATTTATTTTAAATATTATTTTAATATAAACTCAAAATTTCACTTACTAACTAATCATATCATATTTTTCAAAATTAACAAAGTAAAACAAAAAAATTCAAATAAAATTCAAAACATTTCTTATATTAAACAGCCCCTTAAATTCTCTCTTAAGGGTAGCAACGGTTGGAATGAAATTTTCAGAGCAAAAATGTGCTGGAGAATTTAAGCGATGAGTTGACAGTGGCATGACTCGTAGTGTAATGTCTATAGTCCAGCTAAACGTAGCCAATAACAACATAATTGTTTTGTCCTTGCCCAATCACACATGTGTTTTCCTTGTTTCAAGGACCCACACGTNATTAATTAATGACTTAATGGATAAGTAAAATAAGACGGTGATGAGAATGTGAGATAAAGTAAATAACTACAACGACAGATACAAATAAAACATTATAAATTATAAACAGGAATATTATATTTAAATTATAAGGTAGACAATAATAATATGTCACATTTTATAAATTTAATTGATTAATAAATAATAATATAATTATCAAGGTTATAAAATGCACTAGACGCTCGCTAGGTGGCGGGCAAGGGCCTAGCTCCAACAGCGCCTAAGTAGGGATTAATTGGGGCTAGACGGGTCCTAAAAATATTAATAAACTTATTTATATTTTAAAATGCATAAATTATAACTATATTTTATAAAATATACTAATTAGTATAGCCAAATACAAAGATTTTTAAAAATATTAAATTCTTATAATTATTATATTAATTTTACATAATTGTTATTTCTTTATTTTACAATATTATACATTTCATGTATAAAAATCAAAATTTAATTTATTATATTTAATATATATATATATAAAGAAATTATAATGGCAGCTAGATCGTTTAATCAGTTTAGGCGTGACTAACTTCGCAGCCACCTAAACTGTCTAGGCAAGGGCCGTCTAGACAAATGTTGGAGTGTCTGGGTGTTTCCAAGCGCCCCGATTTTTTATTACAGTGATAATTACACACTATTTTACTTATAGATGAATCACTATATAGATTGCATAAATTTAGTGAATAATATAATTTTTATAAATTTAATGTTCATGATCAATTAATTAGTTTTTCTGCTCTTTTTCGTTACTTTTTGCATTCATCAGGTAATTATATATTTTTTTTATTTCATTACATAATAACCACTACTAACTAATAATAAACACAACAAATTATATTCTATTCTAACTTTTTCATAAAATAACTATTTAAAATTATTATTTACTTTTTTCAGCTTGTCAAGAAAGTTTTTTTTTTTAATTAAAATTAGTTAATTATTTTTATGTCATAAGCAACCCTTTACAAATATGTACACAATTTATATAATATTTTCTCTTATTTTTATTATTTCTCACTTTGGCTTAATTGATAATTGATTAAATAAATGTCGTTTTGGCTATTTTGTTCATATTTTTTCACTCTAACCCTCCATCTAATACACAGTGTTTCTTCATATCTCATCTGCATCATTTCTCATAAAATCCATTAAATAGGGTTAATATTGACAAGAAAAAAATTCTTAATTAGCGTGTTGCTTCTCAAAACGACAAATAATAAAAATAGGAGGGAGTAATAATTTTCATATTGATTTATATAACAAATTGACAATAATCAACCAATATTGCAAAAGTTAAATCATTGCAATCAATATAAAATTAAAATATTAGTTAAATAGTTTTTTATTAATGACAAAATCTATGAAATGTGATATGTTCTTTATTTAACTTATGATTTTAAATCTTACATGTACACACACATAACTTATAAAAGTTTATTTGCATATATGTGCATGTGCACAAGACCAAATCCCTCCCTATATATTAATTTAAACGTGTTGAGCCAAGTGGCAGACTCACACGCTTCGGATGTTGACATGACGAAAATCTATGCTTCGAAATGTTGTTGGCAAAAATCTTATAATTTTCTCCCATATTTATTTCTTAAATTACGATTTACAAATCACTTTCTATATTATCTATTCCTCAGTTTTTTTCATCAATTAGTCCATCAAAATTTTTAAATAAAATTTTTATTTTAATAATAACTTTTATCATATATTTTTTAACTCAACACCCGTATAAATAAAAATGTTAAAAAAATACTCCTATTACGTTACTTAATCAATACAAAACATAACTATTACTTTCCTTAATTAGATAAAAATGAGCGAAAAAAGTTTGATGATAATGTATTGCCCCTCTTTTTATAAATATAGATATGATTTCAATTCCAAAACTTTTGTGAATAAAACTACAATATTTTTTAGATAAATTTAAATGTATTCATATAACATATTTTATAAATGGGAAAAAAGCTTACCTAGTATTTTTCTTTTAAGTTTGTCATATAGTATTATAATGGTGATAAATTGCATTACAAAGTACACGAAAATAACAATTTACCTTTTATAATTAAAACTCTATTATAATACAATTTTTGTAACTCAATCAACAATAAATTTTGAATCGCATTTTAAAATTAATCTAAAGATTCAAAATATATAATTTATTATTATTAATTTTTTTGAATTATGTTAAAGTTTTTTAATTGGATGAGACAAATTGTTAATTTGGTATATTTTAAAAGAAAATTTAGCAACTTTCAAATTTTATACGTTTTACCAAGATTAAAATTTTATACGACCAATTTGAAAAAACAAGTAAATAAAATAAAATAAATAAATAACAAAAATAAAAAAATCGCTTTACAACATATATGAAATCCAAGTTGTACTGCATTAACGTTCCGGGNATTATAAATTAAAGTTGTTTATACACACACTCGCTCACCCTCACACTCCCAAACTACACCTTCACTGTTTCTCTCTCATCCTTACGAGCTGCCGCATAAAAAGCCATGAACCGGAAAACGGGATTCCTGCTCGCATTCATCTGCGTCGCCGTCTCTATCGTCGGCGGCCAGCCTCCGGCTTCCGCGCCAGCCTCCGGCACCATCACCACCCCACCTGCTGCTCCACCCACCACAACAGCCACTCCACCACCCACATCGACACCACCGCCGGCGGCTCCGGTCTCATCTCCACCGGCATCAGCTCCAGCCTCGACCCCACCGACTCCCGCGCCGGTCAGCTCTCCTCCGTCGCCGGCGCCGGCGAGCCCCCCGCCTGTTCCCCCGCCCACCATCTCCTCGCCGCCTCCAGCCACGGCTCCGGTCCAGTCTCCGCCGTCTCCGGCTCCTGAGGTCGCGACTCCGCCGGCGCCGGCTTCCGCCCCGCCCACTGAGACGCCGGTGGAGGCCCCTGCTCCCAGCAAGAGGTCCAAGAGGCACCACGCACCTGCACCGGCTCCGGAGATGCTCGGCCTCGGCCCACCCGCGCCGCCGGCGGAAGCTCCCGGACCTGGTGCCGACTCCCTTTCTCCTGGTCCTGCGTCGGCCGAGGATGTGGTAAGAAGATTCTTAAACTCTTCATTCTTGCTAATTTGCGCCGCATTGGTGCTAACATGCGCTTCCAGATCTGAAACAGTGAAACCACGTGGCATTGTTTATTTTCCTTTTTCTTTTCTTTTTCTTTTATTTTAACCTCTGTTTTAGGTTCGTCTACCTTTAAGAGACATAATCACAATGATAGTTTTCTCAGACGATTTAGATCTAGCCTTAAATGGTGGTTACAATTATCGTTTAATGTTAGCGAAAATACGAAGATGATTCAGATCTAGACTGAAATGGTGAAAATTTATATGTTCAAATTTATGTGTCGCATAATTAATGAACTAAAATTATTGATGATATAGATAAAACTAAATAAAATCGGGTCTCAAACTAGTCTTAAAGATAGATCTGAGTCCTTTCTTTTTTACTGGCCCAAGTCCACCCTCACTTGTATTAGAGAGTATCTATTTTGGTTGAGTCTAGTTTCCTTCCAATTACAAGTACAAAAGTTCAAATAGCACTAATATTTATGTATATAGTTTAGAATCTTATTTAATGTGCTGATTTTTTTATTTTTTATTTAATCCGTTTAGTTAGCTTGCTCGGGCTCGTGCAATCTTTTTAAATACGACTTTTAGATGCATATTAGTTAGCTAGCTCGCTTGCCATCATATGCTTTTTGGGAATTTTTTTCTTCTATTGTAATATTGTTTAAAAATTACTATATAGTATCTCTTAATTATGACATTATACAATATGTGCCATAAATTTCAGACCAACTACTTATCATATTTTATCAGATCTCAACTGATAATTATACATTGGTGTGAATGTGATTACAATAAAGAATGATTTCTGCCCATTCTGACAAGCTGTAATGATACATACACATATGCATGTGGAATTATTATGAGGGTTTTGAATAAATATATATATAATGGCAATTAAATTGATAGTGAAAATAATTTTGGGTTTGCAGAGTGGAGCAGAGAGATTAATGAGCGTCGAGAAGCTGCTGGGAAGTTTGGCCGCGTTTGGCTGCCTCTTTTTCCTCGTCTAGATAAAAATAAAAATTTAAATATGTTTTGTGAAAATTTGCACCGACATGTTTGTTGTCTTTTATCGGATCTTGTCTGTCGGGTTTTCAATTATTCGGATCCGCTTGGGGATTTACCACATTTGTCTCTTCAGTCTCTTGTATTCTTTGAGAGTGCAATTTTAGGGAGGCATTTTCTATTTTTTCTTTTCATTTTTTACAATTTTTAATTCACTTGTCATTTTGAACTATTTGTACTTGTACTTTGTAGAACCTCCCATACATTTTAGTTAATTTTATGAATTATTTGTTGTTTGTTAGTTTTTTTATTTTCTTTTTGTTATGAGGCTGTAATTTTGGGGAAGCTAAGCAAATATTTACTACTAGCTAGAAAGAAATAGTTGATCGAATATGATGATGCAAATTGCGATGTGTGCAGTTAGTTTTCTGAAATTATAAAAATTACATTATTATGATTTTAGTACTTCAATAAGTATTGCACATATGGTGAAAAAATTAGCCACACTCTATAATGTCATTTTAATGCCATAATGTTTTCTTTTCTTCTTTTTGGTTCAAAAATGTTCGCTCCATTCAAAAAAAAAAAAACTACAGAGGCAAAAACTTAAATCAGAGACCAATTGGCTACTACTGGAGTTCAAACTGTAAAACTGATTAGATAAATAAAAGTATGAAATGAAATAAAATGTGCAAACTGGTTAGATAAATAACCTTAACAAAATCCATAACAAATGAAGAGTCTTAGCAACCCAACTATCAAAATAGGAGATCTTTAAATCTTGCTTCAATGGGAAAATTAAGGGCATGTATGTTTATGAAATTTTTTTGTTTTGTTTGGATTTTTGGTTTAGTTTGGTTAATTTTGAAAAAGGTGGTATGGTTAGGTGTTAGTGGATATATTAAAATAATATTTAAAATAAAATAATTAAAATTGATTTGATGTAAAAGTAGGAGATGTATGATTTGAAGTGATAATTAGTTAAAATAATGTGAGTGGATGAATAATGAAATAAGGTTGGTGTGTCACTGTGGTGTGAATAAATGATCGATTGATAATATTTAATTATATTGATAATATTGATGATAGTGAGGTTGAGTTAAAGTTGAGTTAAAAAAAAAGTGATTGAGTTAAAATGTTGGAAACTCTTTTAAAATTCTTGTAAACAAACATGCTTTAAGTTTCGATAGTTCAGTGAAACAATTCAAATATATTCACTCATTTCTAAAACCGTAAAGTGTAAAATCTGTCTAAGTAGTGAGGTTAAGTGATGTAGGTAGCAGTGTCAAACGGGCCAGTCCGGTCCGGCCCGGCCCGCGCTGGCCCGCGGTTCAAACGGGGCAGGCCAAAATGGCCCGCATTTCTACGGGCTGAGAAATCCATGGCCCGTGGCCCGCCTTCATTAGCCCGCGGGCCAAATCGGCCCGCCCGCGGGTTTTTTGGTATTATGCACTCTTATATACTTTTTAACTTGTTTATCCTTATATTTACTATTTAACAACTAGTAAGGCTTTATGTGTAATGATGTTAAATATTTGTCATCCAGTTTTTATTTTTATTTTTTTTATGAATAGTTATCGGATATTCACGCGGAGGAGAGACTTAATTCACATAAAATATTATTTGATTCATTAACATTTTTATTATGTAAAAAAATATTTCATGTGCATTCACAAATCTTAATATCATTGTCAAATTTTAAAAAATATAAAATAAATAAATATGGAAGAAGAAGAAGAAGAAAAAAAAAAGACGATAAAGACAAAATCCAACAAAATAAAAAAACAGGCTGGACCGCGGGCCGGCCCGCTTTAGACCGCGGGCCGAACGAGGCGGGCCAAATAGGCCCGCGATTGAACGGGCTGGTCAAGCAAAGGCCCAAGCCCGTCCATTTAGGCAGACGGACGGGCTAGCCCGCAGGCCATGACCCGTTTTGACAGTGCTAGATGTATGGTAGGGCTGAGCAAGGGACTCGAAGAATTCCGAACCGTTCCGAAAACCAAACTGAAATCACTCCGAACCGAAAAATATCCGTTGACCGTTTGACTTTCTCCGAACCAAATTGAACCGAAAAAATAATTGGTACGGTTCTGGAGATTCCATCAATATCCGTGCCGAGAATCGAACCGAACCGTCCAATACCATACCGAACCGAAGAACTGAAATTAAGAACCGAATTATAAAAATAGATGCGTGTTATTAATATATTTTATGTCAACTTTGATCCTATATAATTTGAGAATTTTTAAAATGCAAATAAAATATAGTAATAACAATTAAGATTCACTTACATTTCATGTATAGTAATACTTGATCTACAATTGAAATTCTCCTGTTTAAAAAAAAATAAAATGGAGTGAAAGGTTAAAGATTAAAAAAAAATAATAATAATAATAAATTAAGCTTTACTTAAAATTACCGATACTTAGCCTTAGTTTATCTTATAACTAACAGGGTATGGAAGGTTAAATAAATATTACTTTAATATAAAACTGTATTATATTTTGTTTGAATTTTAAATTTTTAATGTTAGTTGTATTTAGCCATAACTAAAATTTAGGGTTAAAGTTGATTTAAAAATAAAATATTTAGTATGATAAAGTATTGATGAATGTTGGATTTAAAAAAAAAACATATAAAAAATAAAATATAATTAGGTGGTCATTCAAAAAAAAATTAAAAATAATAAGAAATCTCCGAATATCCGAACCAAACCAATCTGAACCGAACCGTTCCAATAGTTCCGAAAATCGAATCGAACCGAACCGAAAAATAAGAATCTCCAAACCGGACCGAACAGATTTTTTGGTACGGTTCTGGAGATCGAATTTTAGTGATCTCCGAACTTCGGTACGGTTTTGGAGATTTATCAATCTCCGAACCGTACCGGCCAATGCTCATCCCTGCGTACGAATGGAAAAGATAGACGAGATACTCTCTCGATAAAACTCACAATCAATTCATATTTTATTCAAAATCAACGACCTAAAACAATAAATAGAGAGTCCTTTAAATAAGGCCTCTAAACTCTATTCCTAACTTGTCCAACAAGACAAGATATTTTATAATAATATTTAATTCCTAACTTATTCTCCAAGACACCTATGCTAATAATAATAATAATAATAATAATAATAATAATAATAATAATAATAATAATAATAATAATAGTAGTAATAATAATAGTAATAATAATAATAATAATAATAATAATAATCTACACCATTCGCCCTCGAAGCCGATGCGCATCCCTGGCCGGCGTGTGGTGTCGAACCCATGGTAGGAAACCCCCTTCGTTTTCTCCGATCGAACACGAAGGTTGAACGACACTGAGATCTACCTTGGCAAGCCACAAAATCCTCGACTGCGCGAATGATACTTTTTCTCTCCTCCACTTGATTTACCCGGACAACCCAAACAAATACTTCGGAACCACAATCCAATAAATAATATTTTTTGTTTTCGAGAATTGATTTGAAAAGTGCACCATCGTCAACAATGGCAACCTCACACTTCCCTTCATGAAACTGCTTCAACATATATAACCGCGTGTCTTCGTCAACGGTTTTGATAGCAGCAGTTCCAGTCTCATCCTTTAGCCCCAAAGGCTCCTTATCAAAGATCGGCGGACCGTCGTAGAGACCGTCCACTTCGCCGGTAAGACGCTCCTCCACCTCCTCGGGTCCTTCATCAAACACATGAGGACCATCGTACAATGGTCCGTCAACTTGCTCATTGTCGAACTTTAGGACGTCAACGCGAAACGGGCCCTCTCATTGACCATATTCGCAATCAAGTCCCCAATTGCGTCGGGCACGATATCCGCTGGCAAAGGCAGTCTCCTCGCGCCTGCCTCTGTCATCGCGTTGATCGTCGCCATCCACGAAGACCGGGCCCCATCGCCGCATGTCACGGCCGCCGTATGCAGCGAAGGTGTCAACCATGACGTGCTGGAGTGGATAATCGCCAAACGGATTCACCTCCGAGATTGTCTCTTCGCCGTCTTCGTCGCCGGATGGTGGTTGTGGAGATCCTCGGCGGGGCGCCCCGCCTGGACCATGGCCTCCACGTCCTCCGTGAATTCCCCCGCACACGCCTCGGTTGCCGGCGTCGCGGTACGTTTGCTTGTCCCGAACCATGGTACGGATAGTTAAACGTATGTCCCCGATCTCCGCGGACAGATCTGCAATCTGACGACCCATCGTCTCGAGCTCGCGGCCAAACCACTCAGTCCGGCGGCTCAGGTTGAAGATGGCGGCGACACGTCTGTTGTTTGCAGCATCTTGTCTTCGCGACAATATTGTGAATTGTGCTGACTTCTGATACCAACTAATGTAGGGAAGCGTACGAATGGGACGTTATTAATGAGATCACAATTTCAAGAACACCAAAACAATATATCAATTCATAATTAATGAGGAGTTGGGACCAGAGATTGAGTCAAGCCGAGTTCGCGCATAATTCGGCTGTGAGTCGGGTGACGGGGCTTTCTCCTTTTGAGGTTGTTTACGCTGTCCGTTCACGTGGCCCCTCCGATCTGGTATCTTTGTCGGCTCCTGCTGCGGCTGATCAGAAAGCCGAGGACTTCATTGTTGATTTACGTGCGACGCATGCAACGGCACGTGCTCATTTGGAGGACACGACGACCGCTTATAAGCGTAGGGCTGATGCTCATCGTCGATACTTGGAGTTTGAGGTGGGTGATTATGTTTGGGCGGTGTTGACGAAGGATCGCTTTTCGGCTCACGAGTACTCGAGAAGATCAATCCAAATGCATACCGTCTCCGGTTGCCTTCGCATATCCGAACCTTTGACGTTTTCAACGTGAAACACTTGGTTCCAATTCTGACGAATACGAGATCGCCCCAGATTCAAGGCGAATCCTTCTCAACCGGGCCTCGCCTATTTGTACAAATACGATCGACTCCGGCTCTAGTTCACTTATTTATCCATATTCCTTTTGTTATTTTTGCTTTATTATTTAGTTGGCAATAATTTAGTTAATAGCTAGTATTTTTATTCCTTGGTATGCAGGATAAGGAAACCAAGTATTGGTAGGACTCTATTAGGATTTATTTTCTCTGCTCTTTCATGTTGCGGGCAGTTTTGTAGAATAAACACATATTTCTTGAGATTGGTTCTCTTGTGTCTCATTTATATGTTTTCCTCTGCGTCATTAAGTCAAAAACTTTTATGATTCCTATACCTAAGGATGAAGCAAGACCGAGGCTCTTTATAGAAAAATCACCTTTGTGTGTGAGAAGTAAGTGGTCGCTTCAAACAAACATTTTCTAAATCAAAATATGATTAGTGACCTAAATGTACACAACGTGACAACATTAAAGTGTTATGGTTCTTGTTGTGTGAGTACTATTGTATCGGTACACACAAACGGCTGGTAAGTTCAAAGCACTGCACTACTAACTGGCTAATGTATCCTATAGTATTTTACTAAGAAAGATTAAAAAACACAAGCTATCTATCCTAATGCAATAATGGTTTGCCGAAACTCTTAAATATTGCTTTCATGCATTAATTTAAGTCATGTGGGGAATTGTTAGAAAAATTGATTTTGCACCGATTTTATGGTTATACTTTTTGTAAGTGGAAGACTTAAAATACAATCTCAAACTATTTTAGATTGAAGGAGAAATTAATTTTATAATTGAAATGTGGGGGAATTTGAATTCATGTAACTCAAAATTAAGTTTAAGTAACTTAAAGATTGTTGGAATCATAAATGTTCACAAATGCTTGGAAAAGCCAAACGAGCCATAATCATACAGTATGCTTGATATAACTCTAACTATCCCTCTGGTTAAATTACACACACAGAAAAAAGTCTGAAATTTTACAGAAAAAAAAAAAAAAAAAGTTCCAAAGGGATGCCCATTCTTTGTTCTTTTTCCTTGCCCACAAAGGGAGTAAACTGTAATGTATAGAACTGCCTTTCATTTTTCACTCCCCAGGTCGTTCGACAGTGATTTTAAGATGTGGTATTTGAGGCTGAATCATGTAGGATAATTACGAAAAATGGTTTTCGTGGTTAGGTTTAATGCAGAAGAGTGGTTATGCTTGAGAATTGAAAAAAAAAATGAGGTGTTAGCAATAATAGTTCCTAAAGATTGACAATTTTAAGTACCCTCCTCTTGGGAGGCATAATTTGAGGAATGCAAGCAAATATTTGGCATTTTATAAGTTTGAATGATATATAGTTACTTTTCTGTACACAATAAAACAAATAAAAATCTTTACTGTTCCTCCAGGATTGGTATATTTGCTTTTTATTACATGTTAGCAGTCCGTTCATTACAATGAATAGAGTTTCAACTTAAGCACAAGCATAAAGCTAAGATGGCTGCAAACTTAAAACTTTTATCTTAAATGGCAAAGATAAATAAACATCAGAAAGGAAGAGATTACATCATGAGTGGGACCTGTGAAGAATCAACGGTTCATGTTTGTAGGGGAAATTTAGTGTCAATTATCAATAGCATACATTCAGAAGTATTTGTAAATTTTTTTGTAGGATCTTTAGACTTGTTCTGCAACCAGGCTATGATCCTACCACATAATTATTAAGGTATGCTTTGCATCCCTCAACAACATTTATTTTTTATTTTTATCTTTTTTTAAGCTTTTGCCATTTCATCAAAGGGATTTTGTGTTAGTCATGTAGGTTAACTTGCTCTCGTCAAGCCACTCCATGGAAGAAAATCAAGAAGGATTGAACATCGAATAAAGTTATTTTAACATACTTTTTTGACATATAAATGATATAAATGATGCGTAGAATTAAGAATTGTTGATTTTAAAGTTGATGTGATTTGTAAATCCATAAGACATTAATTATGTCAAATTTTATACCAATCATTATGTAACTGGTCCTTCAATATCCGTAAACATATCATTGTAGCATGGTCCTTCAATATCCGTAATCCTACAGCATGGGTCGCTATAAATGTACCACTTGACTTTCATGTTACTATTCAATTGATTACAGTTTCTTTGATTTTCTTGAAATGTGCCAAGACTTGTTGAATGGAGCAAAACTGAAGCTTGACGATTGTAAGCTATCATCATGGATAACAGATGGTGTCAAAGCACAAATTCTCAAACAATTGACAGTACAATGGCAAAAAAAGCCTCTGAACAAATTTAGGATGTCATTAGTACATAATTCCTGCAGACTGCTAATCAGGACCGTTTGTTGGCTAAATAATAATAGATCCTTAGCATCAAACAACCTAATGATGGATACATACATATGGATTCAGACCTCAAATACAGATACCAGAATTACTGTGGAGCAAATACAACAGCTCCTTTTTTTTTTTTTTCGTATTAAATGTCATCAGCCTTTAACATACAGCACAGAAGCACAGGATCAAGAGACTCCTCTGCCACCTGTCCTGTGTAATCGTTCGGAAAACTAACCTTTTTTGTGCGCATGTTATTTATCACATCCATAAGACTTTAGCAAATGACCACATTTGTTTTGGATTTTCCACGCAAGCTGGAAAAGTCAATGCCTCTCGCAACAAGATAAACGATGAAGCTAACATATGCAGCTGCAAAAACAGAAACTGCTGAGGTAAACAGTGCACCACTCCCTTCGGATGAGAAGAAATCAACCATCAGATATCCGTTGATCATTATCACCAGAGCCGCTACAAGCCATGATATAACCTGCAAAACAGAAAATACGTAATTTTTCCAGCTTTTCTTTTATGTTAGCAGAAATGCATTCATCTAATGGAGGCACTGCTCCTGTATATGATATACTCTTTATTATTTACTCAGTCAAATAATAATCTGTGGTGTTCAAAGAGGACTAAGCAGCAATATAATAGGTTTAAAATGACTTCAATTTGTTTCCATAAGTTAATACATAAAAGTGAAAACTTTACATTTTAGCTCATGACTGCTCTCCAGATACACCAGTTTCTGTTTTTCGCAATCATTACCCATTGTTCAAAACCAGATTAAACAGTTCAGAAATTACGAAAAATCCTCTGTAATTTGCATAAGTCATACAGATACTTCAACAAATGCAATTATAGTAATTTTACGGAGAATTAAATGAAATTATGCTAAAAGAGAAAATGATGACCAATTCTACAAAATAGCAAAAATGACCTGAAGCACGCAAAGACAATTTTTTTGATAGTTAAATAGAGCACGACATCGCAAAATCTACACATATATGCAAATCAGATACACTTCAACAATAAACCAAAAGAAACTAAAGGTACCTGAAGAACAGTGCCAATCTTGAAATAGCCCATGATCTCCTCCTTGGAAACCAAACAAAGCAGAGGAATGAGAGCAAACGGGATCTGAATCGACTGCAGCACGTTCAGCCACTCGTTCAGCACATCCAACGAGTCCTCAGATGTGTCGAAAACGAGCGCCACAACCAAAGTTGGCACAATAGCAAAGGTCCTAGTTATCAATGCCCTCAGCCACTTCTTAAGCCGCAGGTTCAAGAACCCGCCCATAATGAACTGGCCAGCGTATGTGCCCGTTATGGTGCTGCTCTGCCCAGCAGCCAACAGACCTATGGCCCATATATACAAAATCGGGAAAAGCCCACCACCAAACTTATCCTGAAGGTACTGGCCCGCATTCACTAGGCCTATGCTGTTCGCCTGCTCTGTGCCATAAAATGCCTTTGCAAAAACTGTCGTGACAAATAAGTTGATCATGAAGGAGATGGCGAGTGCAAAGCCTGATTCAATCGAGTAGTAAGTGAGGGCTTCCCGAACACGCCCGATCTTTCGATTGTCAATGTCTCGGGATTGGACGAGGGCTGAGTGGAGGAACACGTTGTGGGGCATTATGATGCAGCCCACGACCCCGACTGCTTGTTGTATTGTGTTTGAGCTGAGCTTTGGAACCAAAACACCTACAGAGCATGTTTTATGTTTAGTCTATTAGGGATAGAAAAGGTTTGCATTTTGTTAGGAAGGTGAAAAGAGCATTTTTCTCACCAATTAAAAGTTCACCACCGCTGGGCTTAGTTTCACCGAACATCCACGCAAAGGAGATGGCCATGGTTGCTATGAGGACTGCGAAAAGTGCTTCTAATTTCCTCACGCCGTAATTTTCCAGAAACAGAAAGATGAAGCTGTGACAAGAAAAAATGATGAGACTACTGTACAATTTATAAATGTTTTGGAACCAATCTATAGATATTATCAAGCATTTATGACCAATCCTATCCATCACAGTATTGCAGATATTAACTCAATAAACACCAATCATATACTTAAATGAAAACCTAAAGCCTGACCAGAAACGGAAACAATTAAAAAAAGAACAATTACGAAATTTATAATCATTTGAAATCCGTACCAGTCAAGAGCCGTGATAATAACCCCAGCCCACAGAGGCAAAACCCCATGACTTAATATCTTGATAGCAATAGCACTCCCAATCACCTCCTGAATATCGGACCCAATCAGCGCCAGCTCAGCCATGACCCAGAGCAGTAGCCTGGCCCAATTAGGATACTCCTCCCGGCACAGCTCCGCCAGGTGCCGGCCCGTCGCAACGCCGAGCCGGGCCGAGAGCAGCTGGACCAGGAGGCCCATGACGGTGGCCCACAGGAGCAGCCAGAGTAGGGAGTAGCCGGCGATGGCCCCCGACTGGAGATCCCCCTCGAGGTTCCCCGGATCCAGGAAGGCGATGCTCATCAGGAAGCCCGGCCCGGTGAACAGCCACAGCTTCCTCCAGGAGAACGGCGGCGGCTTGGTGGAGTAGTCGTCGGCGCCCTCGTCGACCCCGATGATCTGGACTTTCTCGGTGGAATCGTAGGCCCGCTCCTCCTGTTCTTCGTCGTCATCGCGCGAATCGAGCAATCGGCGGTGCTCCTCCGGGCTGTGCTCCGGCATTTTCGCTATTATATTGTTTTTATTTTTAATTTTTTTGCTATTGAAAAATGGAGACGAGAATCAGTGAGGAGATATTATAGTGATTGGTGAGCGGTAGGAATTTGGAGTTTGGGAAAGTGGGGGAACAATTATACATATATATATATATATGTATATATAATTGCAGATTGCGCTCTTTATCGTTAAATCTCAGGTGGGTGGTTCTGCGGATCGTGCCCATCATCCATTAATTTTTTTAATTTTAATTTTTTTTTTTAATACTTTTTTTCATTGTTTTTGTGCGCTTTTAGTTTTAGACTTATTTAAAAATCAACTAGTATTCGACCTGTGCATTTGCACAGATATAAATAAATTATTGTGAGTTTGTATGCATATAATGATTAATTATTTTTCTTTCACTTTTTTGCAGACCAAATTTACAATTAAAAGAGTTGGAATATTTTTTTTTAAAAAATTGTGTTTATCTGATTAGATGTAATGTATATTTTGATACGTCTTTTATTTGTTAATTATTTATTATTTATTTAAGAATTTCATATATATTTTTTATTTTTAAGAAAAAAATTAAATGTAACAACAATAATAACATCTAATCACATGGTCAACACATTATATGGTCAACTGTCATTAATAAAAAAATTAAAATGATTTTTGTAATTTTGAAGTGATGAGTATTAATTATTTAATGATTAAATAAATGATTAAATACATCAAAATGTAACGGTTTTTGGAGAGAAAATTATTAAATTGCCACATAGGTAAAATTAAATAAGTTTTATTAAATGTTTTGAGCTAGTAATTATATATATATATATAGATTACAAAATTTACTTTAAAGTTAAGCACAGTTTTCACCTTTTACAATTTAAGCCACGACTTTTATACATATTTTGCAAATTGAGGCACATACTAAGCCACCATGTTATTATGGAAATTATACAAGATCAAAGTTCAAACAACTTTAGTTAATATTCAACCGTGTTTACTGAGACCCATAATCAAATGAGACCACAAACTCGAATTGAAAATATAAACTGAAAGCTTTGGGTTCAAAAGTCTGTCCCAAGTTCTAAAACCAAAACCTTAGACTCACTTTTGTATTTTAAAATTATCGATCATAGATTATTCATGAGCGTAGTTGATCCCTCAATTCTCAAACCTAAATCCATTGGTGTTATATGGTTTAATAGAAGAGTTGAAATTATTTTTTATATGTAATACAAATGTTACCAAAAAATATTATTGAACACATTATTCACTGATCACCGAAACCTAAGTGCCTTAATTTAATTTAAAAATTGAAAAGTCTGTGTTTTTATTGCCCAAATTGAAATATTGTACTTAAATTACAATAAGTGTTGCCAATTTTATACAATTTCTTGTTCAAATAAGTCACATACATTATTTATTAATCTATATTTCTTGTAGATTAGGACAAATCCAGTACTCTACAAGAACTTCGGTTTTTTGTTATCATTTATCACCTCAGTTGATTTTCTGATCTAATTTAAAATTAATTTGATCTTTTTTCTAACTTTAACTTTGTGCTTTCGTGGTCCTTGCGGTCACTTTTGCTTTCTTGTTTTCTTCGATTTTTTATAAACGCAAGTACGCATATATCTCTTGGCTTAATAAATGTTCACCCAAAATCTGGTAGGGCCTCATAGAAAACGATGACACCAAAACGGAAGCTCCTCGGAAAAATTATTAATCCATAAAAGACGTTGAAATTAAGGTAATGACGTGGCGCTGAGGTGACAGCGAGGCAACTAACGGTGATAGAGGCGGTTACCGCAAATGTGCAAAGCGTCGTCGTAGCGCGCGCGGGCATGTGTTGGTTTGGAGGCAGCCCGTGATTGGTTCGGGCCCATTATTTAACGTGTCACGACAAATTGTGTCATGCCTAATCCAGACCCGTTTCCATAAAAGTCCAAGATTTTTGTACAAAGGTTAATGAAAAATCTGCAAAACCTCCAGGGAATCAACATTCATATCTTGGATTTTTGTTATACTATTAATGGAAAATTAATTATTCTGATAAGTATGCACGACACGATTGGCACATAAATAGTGAAAACCCTAAAAAATTGATTTTGTATGAATTGTATGTTTTATTTTTCGTTAAATTTAAAAGTTAAAAAACAATATTAAAACCATTGAAATTGAATAATGATATTGAACATAAGAATAACTTGGTAAAACAATACTAGCTCAATATGTGGACCGGAGTTAGCTGGGACGATGGGTTGGATGAAGTTCATCCATATTAATAGCTTGGACCTCTATGTAGCTAGGTTAGTGACAGGGCTTGGCAGGGGCGGATGTAGTATAGAACCAGTGTGGGGCCTAGGCCCACATTGAATTTTACAAGACAATATTTAAAATACTATTTAGGATCATATATAAATTAGTTGATGAAGGATTTAATTTACATTGTGTGGGTGTATTTAGGAAGAGATAATATAATTATATCTCTCTCTAAATTATAAAATGATTTATTGCATTTTTTTTTACTTTTATTAATTATTTTTTATTTATTTTTATTTTTAGAAATTAACACTATTTATCCTATTTTGTTTAGATATGAACTAGATATATAATTGATCATTTACTTAATATGACTTATATAGTAAGAAGAAAAAATTTAAATTTTCTTATTTATGTTAATTAATTCACTAACATAGTCAAATTGATTCTAAATTTCATCCCAAAATTTTTTATGAATTAATAATTAACATAAATATACAAGTTTCCATAAAATATCTTTAAATTATATTTATAACTAATATTTAATTACTTATTTAAAAATGTATGACTTTTTTTCTTTCCTTTTCATTCAATTAAGATTTATCTTGTTGAACCAAGGAAAATAATATAAAATCAAGCATCCCACCTTCTTTTTCCAACAAGTAACACAATTAAAACATAATAAATTCAATTTATGTTATAATTTCTTATAATAATATTATTAATTCTCTAGCATATCTTCATATGTCATTAAATCAGATCAACTTTAATCATTACATTTTTATTTTGTTTATTCACAAAAACAATAATTCAATTTTTTTATCTCTATTTTTGAATATATATATATATATATGATACTATTTTTAATATTAGCTCTGGTGTGAGAACCGTGAGAACCATATTTGATGCTATTTTTAATTGTGTATGATACTATTTTTAATATTACATGGTGCTATCATTTTTACAAATGTTAGTATAAATTGTGTTGCTATTTTTAACAAAATATATCTTGGTTAAAAATAGCACTAAAACACACTCAATCATAACACTTCATACAATTAAAAATAGCAGTTCTCACGGTTTTCACGCTAGAACTTGGTTCTCATTTGAACCACATCCTATATATATATATATATACAATCGCAACCTATAATTTTATTTTGTAATTCGGATGGTTAGTTACAAAACTAACTTAGGCCCTCACTCATCCAATTTTCTAGATTCGCCCCTGGGGCCTGGGAGTATGGAGAGCTCGACACAATAGTAGCTCGGCTAGGAGCAGGGCCTATGTGTGTGGAGAGCTAGCTCGTCACAGTAGTAGCTCGTCTTAATAGTAGCTCGGCTAGGGGCAGGCCTAAGAGTGTGGAGAGCTCATCACAGTAGTAGCTTGTCTTAATAGTAGCTCGGCTAGTGGCAGAGCCTAAGAGTGTGGAGAGCTTGTCGCAGTAGTAGCTCATCTTAATAGTAGCTCGGCTAGTGGCAAGGTCTAAGAGTGTGGAGAGCTCGTCTCAGTAGTAGCTAAGCTAGTGGCAGGGCCTGGGAGTGTGGAGAGCTTGTCACAGTAGTAGCTCGGCTAGTGGCAGGGCCTAAGAGTGTGGAGAGCTCGTCACAATAGTAGCTCGGTGCAGTGTAACAGAAGGGTCTTTTAAGGAAAAGCCGATCGGTGGTGGTTCTCTACAAAACTGAGGACTGGCCTGTGGAGGTGGTTATGAAAGGTGGTCCACAAAGGATATTAGATTTATAGAATCGGGGGAAGAGAGTGCGGTCCCATCAGATGAAGCGCACCATAAGAGGGTGAGCCTAGTTATACTTTAATGAGGTTCCATTACAAACCAATTGGTGATGGAAGGAGTAGCCCACTAGGCTTATATACTAGGCTCATTGTCCCTATAGAATCAATGTGGGACAACTCACAAGTGACATTCCAACACGCCCCCTCACTTGTGAGTCCTTCGTAAGCTCAAGCCCACATAGCAGGCCGGGTAGAGAGATAAACCCAATCCCAGAGCAGGCCAGATAGAGAGAGTCATTGCAGGTCCTAGGACAGGCCCACTCTGATACCATATTAGATTTGTAGAATCGGGGGAAAGAGAGTGCGGTCCCACCAGAAGAAGCGCATCATAAGAGGGTGAGTCTAGTTGCACCTTAATGAGGTTCCATCCCAAAACCAATTGGTGATGGGAGGAGTAGCCCACTAGTTTTATATACTAGGCTCATTTTCCCTATAGAATCAATGTGAGACAACTCACAAGTGATATTCTAACAAAGGATACGTGTAAGGTCAAGATCAAAGAGGAACAAATGATCCGACGGTGGAAGAACAAAGCGTATGGAGAAAGCTAATTATTTCATATAAAAAGGTAAATTGGGGAAGAAGGTAAAGGGAAATCACACTCAATCCCTAAAACACTTCATACAGTTATACACAGCTTTCCATAGCCCTTTACAGACTTGATCGTCGGACGTTTAACGTCGGTAGCACCTCCCGGCGTCTTTGCAGGTCTCCATGGAGCAAAGCAGTTGAGGATCGTTGGAAGGCCGGTTCGAGGTGCGAGAGCACATCAAGTAACACAACCTATACCGATGCTAGTTAAAAATTTTATATTTAATTTCTTAAAAAATTGTAATGGGGAAGTTTTTTTTATTTATATTTTAAATACTTTAAAAAGTTACATTATCATTTATATTCAAACTAATTTTTTTTACTTGTACGATTTATCCCTTTTATATTAAAATGTTTTTAATTCATACGTAACGAATTTACAAGGTAGCTTTTTTGACTGATATACAGTGCTATTAATTTTTAATTAGTATTAATAGTTGATTTAATTGTATAAAATAAAAATAATTTTTTGTATTTATTTTATATATGCATTACAAATATCAAATCGAAACTTATCAAATATGATTAATTTGATATAAAGTATATAGACTTGAGTTTATATACTTTTTAATCTATTTATAATTTAAATTAGTAAAGTGTTTTACAATTTTAAAAGTTCTAATAGATATGGATAGAGTCCAAATCTATACGGACTACTTCGAAGCACCACAAGTAGACATATAAGATTATGAAGCGCTATAACTCGACATGTAGAATCGAGACCAGAATTTGACAAGTAGAAACGAGACATTCTGCATTTATATATAAGGGGACTATGAAGTTGAAATGTGAAAATTTTGAGTTTGAGTTTAAGTTT